TGTGTTGTATAAACTATTCAGTATTTAATTATGAACGCTTACGTTTAGAATATGTACATACACACACTTTTATAACTTTGTTATACATAAATAAAAGTTAACATTTAAATAAAATTAATTACATTTGTTGAAATATTTCTTAGCCGTCATATTAATTCATATCATTAAAATATCATATTAATTATTAAAAGATAATTAAATACTTGTATAATTTTGTAAAATAATTATTTTTTTAAATAGAATAAAATAAAATATTTGTTAAATTATTTACAGTAAATATGGTAAACGTTGTGAACGATGTGCTATCATTTTATGTGATGAAGATATTGTTATGCGTGCTAATGATGCAATTTTTCATTTGGAATGCTTTACGTGTTACGTCTGTTCCACACCACTTCAACCAAGTGAATTATTTATAATGGGTTGTAATGGAACGTTATATTGTAATGGTGATAATTTTTTTTTTTTTCACTATTTTCATTTTTAAATTTTATTTTTTTTTAAACTCATATTTAAATTGGTTATTTCGTCATAAAATAGATGCTATCAGCAAAATAATTAACATTAACACATTTCAAATAATAAGAATATGAATGTTCATATTCATTAAGGAGGGAGTTTTGAAAAATCACAAAGAATGATTTTTAAAATAAATTAATTTCCAAATTAATGAATTAATTTCAAAATGCCATTATTTCCACTTGTATTAATGATTAGGAAGAAATGAATAGCAAGTTTAATATATTTGCGATACAAGTTATTGATATTAGAAAAATGAAATTAAATAATTTAAAATACTTTTTCATAAAAAAAAAAAGATATTAATAAGTAAAAATTATGATATGCATTTTTAGTCAGTAATTCAGTAAGGAAATGATATTCAGGTTTCAGCGCACTTTGGTGCAATCAATCCTACAAATGATGATAATTCTTTACGATCAACCGCTTCATCTGAAATTTCACTGATAGGAGGGAAAGAACGATGTCGAAAGTGGAAAAAGTCAACCGATGATATCGAAAGTACCACCGATAGTATTGGTTGGCATTGGTGTTTTTTAATTGATTTTTTTCATTTGCGAAAAAAATCTTTCATCCTTCTAAAAAATAGCAAATATTATTTGTTTATTTATTTGAACTGATAATAAGCAAATGTGACATGACAAGAAAGTATAAGACTTTGCGCCTTTAAGGATGTCAATTAAAATTTTTAATTAATGGAAAAGTGATTACATGTATATGTATATCCATTTAAATATTTACATTATCATTTGTTTTTTTTTAATGCAAATTTTATCACTCATTCATATGATTTGTTATCAAACAATTGCTAAAAAAACAATTCATTTTATTTATTTTTTTGATGAACATAAGAATAGATATGTCCTTTTTTTTTTGTTTGTCAATTTTGTTTTCGGAAAAAAATCTATCAAATATCTTTTTTTTAAAGAGAAAGCGAAACTTAACTTAAACTTTGTTATAATTTTGGGATAAAATGAGAAATCTGCAAAGGAAAAGGAAAAGCGAGAGAGGTAAAATTTAAGGAATGGATGTTTCAAGTTAATGTAATTTTAAATTATAATTTTAAAAATGTAAGATTTAGAAATGTAATGAAAGCTATGATTGATATCATATGGATGAGCAAATTTACACATAGCTACCGTATCTAAGCGCTAATTGGAGGATGAATGTGACAGAAAGCACTGACTCTTGCTAATGTATTCAAAAAGAGTCGCTTTGTTCCTTGAAGAGGAGCAGAGTTAGTGCTAACTTAGCTACGAAACTCGAAATAACATTTATTACTTATTCCAATTATTTCTAAGAGAAATACTACAGTATACATCTAAGAACATCCTTTATTGCAGAAAACAATAAAAATTGTTAGGTTACATAGAGCTTTGCATAATTTCTAATTATGTAAATAAATTCTAATTATGCAAATTACATATAACATTATTTTTGAAATGATACCAAATCATCAGCAAAATCTTACATGATTAAAAAATTCGAACAGATAATTAGATATTTGACGATAGGTTTTAGATCGATTTCATCTCATACATACTTGTTGTAAACGTTTGCTATTTGAGAAATTATTAATGGGACGTATTTAATAATAATTAATAGTAATAGTAAATAATACTAATACTACTACTACTAATAATAATAGTAATAATAATAATGATAACAATAATAGTAATAATAACAATGATAATAATGATTAGTATTCTTTGTTATTCATGATTCTTTCGGAAATCAAGCTATATTAATTTAACTTTTCTGATCTATATTTATCATTATTTTTGTACCATTATGAAATTTTCTTATTATGTTGCATTATCTTTGCAATTTTTTTTCCAAAAGTAAGTGTATTTAGAAAGTGCAGTTAATATAGTTGGTGAAAGATTATAAGTTTTTTCTTCCTTTCTTATTGAAATATTTAAAAATAGAAGGAAAAAATGAATGCAATTATAGACTGTGTTGAAGAAGAAGCGTTAAGTATAACGCATAAATCAAAACGAATGCGTACCAGTTTTAAGCATCATCAATTGAGAACAATGAAAAGTTATTTCAATTTAAATCATAATCCAGATGCTAAAGATTTGAAACAATTAGCACAAAGAACTGGTCTTACAAAAAGGGTTTTACAGGTGATTTTTTGTTCAGAATTTTATTCTAAATCTTGACAATTCCATTTAAAATTTTGCAATAAAGTTAATATAGTCTAAGTACCACTTGAAAAAATGAGAATTTTTTGAAAGAAATTATACAACATACTGCATGGAAATATGATAATATGTGAAATACTACTCATAATTATTTAATATTATTCGTATTATTTATAATTATTATTTAACAATATTATCAAATTTAACACTTGTTTTAGGTTTGGTTTCAAAATGCTCGAGCAAAATTTCGTCGTAATAGTATACAATGTCGTGAAACATCCAGTAATTCACCACATGTACCATCAATTCCAAGTACTTCCTTCAACGAACCAATTGAACCGGTTTTTTTTTTAAATTATTTTTTTTAAAAAAAAATGCAAAACATAAAATTGACGAATCTAAATTGATTGCCGATTAGCACAAAGAAACATCATAGGGATGATAAATTTTCATAATTATTTCTTATTGTAAATATTTTTAATTTTGTATTCAAATTATTAGATTTCAGATAACATGCGGTTCAGTAGGTGATTCTATGGAAGAATCATGGCAAACATCAGTAAGTCCGGAAGAGGGAAGTCAACGAGATGAACATTCCGGTAGCTCAAACGATGACAACGAATTAAATAATGGTAAAACTGAAACTGAAACAAGCGGCTGTATTAGTTCATCAGAAAAATCATTGGCTGAATATTTTGAAACAGATCAAACAATGCTGTAAAGTTTTGCGAAAAAAAAAAAAACATATACAATAATAAATTTTCTTCAAATCCTTTAACAATACTTCCGTTATGAAAAAGAGAAAATGAAATAAACAAATATCATTTGTCATGTCGAAAAAAAGAAAGAAAAAGACCGAAACTTTAATGAATAACAGAATGCAACCAATAAAGTTTCTCTTGAAAGCATCATTATTACAAGATTAAATTAAGTAGATTATGGAATGAAAAAAAGTATGGAATGATTTTGCATCCTTAAAAAGGTCACAAATTAAGCATTAAGAATACCAAGCAGAAGATACCAATCAATATGATTACAGTAATGATAAGAAAAAATTTTTTATAACATCTTTTTATTTTTAATATTTATTTAGTTCTATTCAATTTAAATTTCAGTAATATAATATGCTCATGCCATATGTACAGAAATTTTAATGCATATCTAACAAATATTTAAGGTAAACAAAATCAATTGGTAAAATTCTGAAATATTATCTATGAATCACTACGGCATCTAGGCATCTAGAAGTAATAAACAATTTCTGATGAAATCTTCCCATATTAATTATTCCTTAAAATTCAGAAATTTATGAAAACATGATAATACAGAAAAATTAAAGGAACATATATGCTCATAATACTAAGCGACACTAACTATAAGCCCTTAATGAATTAAAATGATGAATTGCACCTGATGAAGTATTTGAAAACAACAAAAAATGACAATAAGCTCTATGCATTAGAAATGCTAAAGAGATGAAGAAAATTTAACGAATATTTAAAAGAAATATATTTCAAACGTTTAATTAAAATTTGACACTAATACATAAGATAAAAAACCTCGTCGGAAATTTCAAACATTAGCAGAAAATGAAACCAGTGTACTTATAGGGGAATTTTAAACTAATTATTACCATATATTTTTAAGTTACTATTTTTAAAAAAGTTTTGTTATTTCAGTACAATCTTCTTTCAAAAAGCTCATCTCCCATTTCTTCAAAACTATCAGTGTTTACTAATAAGTGAAATTCCTATTGCTTAAGTGAAATTATAATGAGTTAAAACAAACTGCTTATGCTATCTCATTTTATTCTTCAGAGATAATTCATCGATAATACGTATATTCTTCTGAGATTTTATAGAATGACCTTTCACAAATGCCTGAAAAAGAGTAAGCAATTCATGTGTATGTATATTTTGTTTTAACAAATAATTAGTCTCAATAATTTCAAGGTATCACCTCTATGAACATCTCACATCAGTTGCAGGGATTCTACGCATACAAAAGAAGAGTGATTTTCATGACTACATATACCCTTTTTCGAGCTTTTAGAAAAATTCGAAGGCATAAATATTTGATGAAGTTAACTGCTTTGATAGAAATTGTTGATATTCATCAGTTTAAAAGAGATAAGATTTAAGTAAGGCAATTCAAAAAACACTTCGAAATTAGAATTAATTCGAATCTAACCACCTGAACTTAATTTTTGTAGGAAAACTTACATGAAAGATTAGCAACTGTTAAGTCAAAATTAAAGTCCAGAAAGAAAAACGCTAAAAAAGAAAGAATAAAATGCGGAAGATGAAAAAAAAAAGAGATATGATAAAATTAACGCTACCAATTACAGAATGCTGTCTGTGATGTTTGAACCCCGAAAGGTTCGCCATAAGCTGAGGCATCAGGTTGCAAAAATCTGAAATTTCTTATCATTACAAAAAATGAATTAAAATTGCTGCCTTACGCCCATAACATATCTAGCAAATGTAGATGGTTACTATTTGAGCAGTATAAAAGGGACAAATTTTTAAACTTAAACTTACCCCACACTCTGTGAAGTATTAGCAGTGCTACGCCAATAATTAATACTACTGATTGGAGCAAACGGTACGAATGAAAAAGTGTTGCCATGTGGTTGATAAATGCAATTTGACTGGGGAATCTGATACAAATTGCTTTGGAAAATAGTAGATGCTTCATTCATAAAAGCATTTCCAGTATCACCATGACTGAAGCTAAAAAAATTCATTTTTAACACTGATTATTTTAATAAAGCTGATAAAGTAGAAACACAATCCTCAATCAATTTTTAACTCTTATATTCAATAATTGTAAGACTAAGTATTTGTCATTGTTAAGTTCTGAAATATGAAACAGTTAATAATATATTTCTCCAAGTACTATTTTGTTTATCGATTGCGCTAAACTTGTAGGACGAGATTGGAAAATAATACGAAAATAAAAATTGTTGTTTGAAATAAATTTATAGAAAAAAATTTACGATGCGTGAATAGTGCTTGGTGTTTGACTGCACCAAGCAGAAGAGTTTAATTCTTCCACCCGATTCTGCGCAACAGATAGAGGACGATTGAAATGAAATGAGTTATTTCCAGCATTTAAACGATGATCATGTCCACCAAAACGTCTGAAAGCTATTACATGGTGTTCTTATTCTAATTCAATACCATATATGAAAAGGTGAAGCAATAAACTATGGATTATTTGTTAGTTACTACAATATTTAGTAATTGTTTTCTTGGCACTAACATTCTACTTTCATTATTTGATAAAAAAAAACAGTAACGATATTTGAATTAAAAATTTTAACGAAATATGTCAATTTCTCTATGAACAAGAAACTGTATTAAGTGCAAAAATAAATCAAGAAGAAACACTCCGTACGCTCTATCGTAAGATTTCGAAGGGCTTTTATAATTTTCTTTAGTCATTTTCTCAAGCCATTCCGGCACTTCTTGATTAGATTCAACCAAAAGATTCATCAAATCGTGACTAATATTACGATGTCGATCCGTAAAGAATGAAGTTGCTAATCCGATATTTCCAGCTCGTCCTGTACGACCAATACGATGAACATATTCATCAATGTCAGTGGGAAGATTGAAATTAATCACATGATTCACATTTGGAATATCAAGGCCTCTAGCAGCGACCTAAATTTGCATGCGTAATACGAAAAGATTTCGTTCTTCCTTAATCATTAATAGTAACAACAGTAATCTAATACATTTTTCTTTGTTTTGTTTTTTTAAATTAGATTTATTTCGTGAAAAATGTAGAGAGAAATCTTACGGCTGTTGCAACTAAAATATTTGTTTGCCCCGATCTGAACATTTCCAAATGACGTTCTCTTTCGTATTGCTTAAGATCACCATGAATGGGCATAACATTGTAGTGATTGCGTTGAAGATGCCATGCTAATTCATTTGCACCTCGTTTCGTTTCAACAAATATTAGGGTAAGTCCTTTATTGACTGAAATTTGTATAATTTAATTCGTTAAGAATCGATCTGAAATATTCATTTCAAAAAAAGAACTGCAAATATACTATTTGTTTTTAATGTAATTTAATTTATTCTAGAATTACTATATTGTCAAATTTGAAAAATGCAACCTGGAAAGTGACCACAGTACCAGAAGAGAAAAAAAAACAGTGCGATCTGTTCGCTTTGAAAACGAGAAAAACTGGCTTAATTATTGGATAAATTAAGAATCATAGAAATAAATGAGGAGAAGTATCCTTGTTTTTAGGAAATTGAGAACACAATCGTGTTAAGCATGCATTATTACTAACCTAAGAGATTTATGAATTTATTAGTATATTCATATTGATTTTTTCCGCAAATTGCTGAAATCGTGGGAAAATAAAAAATCCAAAAGCATATAAACAATTGTTAAAGATAATGTACACACAGAAAATGGATACCATCAGTATCGAGAAGCTCCATAAGCAAACGCTTCTTGTCATGCTCCTCAACCCAAATAACTTTTTGAACAATGTTTTCAGCTGTTGAACCAACGCGTCCAACAGAAAGAAATACATAATTTGGCACAAGAAAATCCTGCGCCAATACCTGAATTTCTTTTGGAAATGTAGCAGAAAAGATTGCTGTGACGCGTTTACCCTAAAAAATATCGGGTCATGAAATGTTATCAAGCTAGAAATATGTTCCTGACAGATCAAAGGAAGTCTTGAAGATATCGTGCATACTGATTACAAGTATCAAATACTTTCACTTGAGTCACTTTAATTCCTATTAAACAGAAAAATATGATCTGATACAATCTCACACTTGGATATCTTTTTGGTATCCAACACATAATTATACCGCTAAAAAGAGAATGTGACGTATGCTATGCTATACAAATGATGATAGTAATATAACAATAATAAAACTAAACTTTTTCTGGCATCGAATGATACTCAACAATTTGTCGAATTTGAGGTTCAAAGCCTATATCAAGCATTCGATCTGCTTCATCAAGTATCAGAAATCTACACTCATGAAGAGACACGACATTCTGATTCATCAAATCTAATAAACGTCCCGGTGTAGCAATAAGCATATGGCATCCAAGCTAAAAAAAAATTAATACAATTTTATGCTTACCCACTATAAAATCTAAGCTTCAACTGATTACATAACACCATTAAAAAAAAAAAAAAAAAAGAAACAAAAAAAGATTATGAAATCGCTTATTATAATATTTCACATACCATTAATTTTTGCACTTGATCGCGGTAATTTTCACGACCACCATAAAGTACAGCAGATAAAACGTTGGTTCGATAAGCGAATTTTAAAGCTTCTTTATGAGTTTGCATAGCTAGTTCACGAGTTGGCAATAATATTAGCGCAACTGGGAATACCGTACGACGATTCATTTGTGACTGTAAATAATTCAGAAAGTAGATGAAAATCAAAAGCTTTTTTCCATTCTTATACATCAATTCGCTTTGATAGAACATTTTTAATAGGCTAGAACTAAACAATAATAAACTTGAAAAACTTACTTTCTTTAGCCGAAAAAAAAAACAAAAGAAATGCATCTACACGCTGACAAAATAAATATTAACTTCCCATATAAACCATATGCTATCCAATTCATTTGATAAAAAATTATTGTATCTTTGGTACAATTTAAGTTGTTCAATGCATAACAATTTAACTTGTTTCAAACTTTAGGAAAAATATTTTGTACCGTCTTCGGTATCAATCAGAGCTAACTTGATAAACTATCTCGGCAGGATTTAACTAAAGCAGATACAGTATAAAAACTAACAAATTAATTTTGAACAGTAAATGATAAATTTATTGAAATGGCTTCAAATTTACTTACCATTTTCATTGCAGTTGGTTCATTTTGAATGATGTGATTGATAACCGGTATTAGAAAAGCCGCAGTTTTCCCTGAGCCAGTCTGTGCACAAGACATTAGATCACGACAATTTAGTAAACTTGGAATAGAATATTTCTGAAAAAAACGAGTAGAAATAAGAGTTCAAGAGTAGAAATGCGAAGCCTTGCAGGCAGCAAGTAAAAATTAAGTAAATACTTGGACCGGCGTTGGTTTCGTATAACCTGATTTTTTGATATTTTCCTGAATCCATGGATGCAATTGCAGTTCATCGAACTAAAAATATTTATTGACAGAAATATCCAACCATGAAATATATGTGGATAGTATAATACACAAAGCATATAAGAAGTATGAAAGCTAACAATATTTAGAAGTTTGAAGATATTAAGTTTATTACTTTTATCAAAAAAAATAAATAAATAAATAAATAAAAAAAACATTACCACTGCACACGGAAGCGCCGCATCACTCCCTGTTGCTAGAACCGGTGTTTTTTCATATTTATCGAAATTAATCCCACAGTTAACGCCAGTAAATAGAACGCTAAAGATAAAATTGGTTTAAAAAAGAAAATCAATGGAGGAAGAACTCAGAACAATTTAATTTCACTTTTAAAACAGTTCAGAAAATAAGAAATTAGCAAAAATAAAACTATGATTCAATAAACTCGACATATACAACACTACATGAGGTAATTATGAACAGGTAAGAGATTAACTGCATCGTAATATCAAATAAGGCACAAACGAAAGATTTTAATGTGTAAATTCATTATTAGAAAATCCAAAAAAAAAAAAAAAGAAAAAAGTGTGAATGGGAACAAATTATATCAGACAAGGAACAATTTGAATAAGGCGTGTAGCAAAGCTTAATGATTTAAGATAAATAATACGGTCAGATCATAATGATACAATTACTTATCTTATAACCACTTAAATAGAGGTAATTTTCATCTCTAACCGTGACATAATGGATAGATATAATACAGTCATCTCATGAAGTTAATCTCAAAACATTCTAGTAATATATTTCAGTAACATTATTATGTTTTTATTATTAATACTATTAAAACTAATATTATTAATTATGTTTCTATATTTTTTAATTATTTTTAATCTCATTCAAATTTAATAATATGCAAAAATAGCAAATTACCGTTCGACTATCTCATTTCGAGATCCTTCCTGCGGCAAGATGTTATCCGATGTTGCACTCATATCACTCGAAAGTCTAAGAACAGACAAAACATAATAAGTAAAATTGTCCTCTCATCAAAAGGCAGAACAACTGGAACGAAATCATGTTACAAATAAATCATTCAGAATATGAGATTTATAAAATAAATTAATGTTAAAATCATTATTAGATTGAGAAGAAGAAATCAATTATGCATGCAGCAAAATATTTCGACACTGCACATCAGTTTCATATTATCTGAAACACTGCAACCATAAGTTGCCATAAGCTGAAAAATTGAATTTGATAAGCATGTGGAAATGAAAAATAGAAATAGAAAATAAATTATATTCACAACGTTCAAACAATATAAAAGAAATATGAAAACAATATGAGATATTAGAAAAGACTTGAATAAATTAATACATTTTTAGAAAGATAAGTTTTAATGTTTGTCGCAAAAAATTTCCAAGCTAAATTAATATATGTTTCAAAAGAAACTAAACGACCATAAAATTATAAATTCATAATTCGGTCCATTCCAAACGCATAAAGTTGCGAAATATTCGGTAATATGTCTTATAAAATTATTTGAGAAAGATATAAAAAATAAAAAGTTTGTGAAAAAAAAAATGACTAAATGCAAAAACTTATATTCTACGACAAATTTAAATATTAAAATAAGCAATTGTGTTGTAATATTTCTTAAAATATCCAAACAACTATTTCTGACAAAATGCCATAAATTAAAAACCTTTCATTTGAATTTTGAAAAATCTTCAATAAAAAAAAATGAGAAAATAAATAATTACATAAGCAAATACCCACTGCTAGTTATATACTAATTGGAAATAAATCATTACCCATTCATTACATAAGATGCTATTCAAATCTAAGCTAAAAAAAAGAATACCCGACGACGATGATGAAACATCGTAACCAATTATCTTTTGAAATCTAAAATCTATATAGTAATTAAGAATGGAATAAAAATAAAAAAAGAAATCAAAATACCTAATTCAACATATCACATTCAACAATTATCAAAAATGATTTACCATCCTCATTTATGTCTGTTAATAACTACGATAAAATTTCATCTTTTAGCAAATGCAAAGAAATTTGCACAATAAAATTTTTATTATCATTTATGCCCATTAATCTTTTCATGTAAATTAAAGATGAAAGATAAAGTAGTTTCCCATAGATAGATGAAAAGAAACAACTATGATTTAGAAATCTGCAAAAAATCAAAAGAAATAATAACAGCTTAATAAAAGTTGATTAAATTATGAATAAAAAATAAACGTTCATTTAAAGACGAAAGAAAACTAACCAACAAAAATAGAAAATTAGGAAAACTCAAATGTATGGCGAATTTGAATGAAGGTTGAACATACATTAAATCGCGATATGCAAATATCAATGATCAATGTGATATGCATATGCATATTTATAAAAATGAGATATATTAGCATATGGGAAAAAAAAAAGGTAATAAAATATTGAAAGTAATGAATTCAATATCAAACAGTGAACAACAGTGAATACAAAAAAATATTTATTTTCTCTTCTTTTGCAAAAATATTTGAAATAACATGCATAAGATGTATTAAAATAATACAGCAATATGGTTAGAAAAACAAATTTTTAATCCAATTAATAACAAAATTAATATTTTTTCAGTTTCAAAAAAACCTTGAACTCTTTGTTCCCCAAAAAAAAGCTGAATTCTCTATTTTTAAATATAATAATTTTCAATTTCAAAAAAAAAAAAGCCTAAATTCTTTAATCGTTATGAATATTTGCAATGCCAAAAAATATGGGAAATGTAACACAACTGAGAAAAAGGCAAATTACTGGAAATATAAGGTAAACAAAATGATAACGCTAAATTCTCATAAAATGTCAGTAAACTTTGCAAATTAAAAAATGAAGAAAAATGGGAAACAATAATATTAAAGGAATACCAACTTTTGGATTTCAATAACAAAAAACTAAAAGCATTTTGAATAGAGATAATGAAACCAGAAAAAAAAAATGATATAGTATTTTTACTAGAATACTTTCTAATTCTTCTTACTGTTAGCACAATTTAAAAGATAATATTTTCAAGCTGTTTTGAATGTCTAATGACGAATTTAAATTTTTTGTTACATATTTCAATTCAACCACTATCCTCTTTACCGTAACTGAAAATGAACAAAAAACTTACCATTATTTTAAATCATTACTTTTTGAAAACTTCCACCGAATAGAATTTTCTTATCGAAGATTGCATTCCAATCTCAACAGCTGTATCAATCGGTTTCACGATAAATGGTATGGTACATAGTCCAATTACTGTTGATGTTAATTTTTGTACTTTTAATGGCCATTTAGTTGACCTATAAATTATAAAAATAGTTGCAATAACTTCAGTAAAAGTTAGATCTAAGGATTATATACTATAATAATAAATTTTCACTGAAATAGAAAGAACAGTGATAGGCTACCTCACAAGGATGAGAAAGTTTATGAGGTAATCTTTAACACAGCAGGCAAATTAAATTCTTATTAAATAAAAATAATTCTATTTTCAAAATTATTGCACCAAATAAAAAGTTGCTGCACTTTCTATTACAAATTAATATTTGTTTAATTACATTAGCAATTAGCACATCGTTTAGCGTCTTTCCTGTGTATCATAGATTTTTTCAGAAGCTAAAGATGATGTATAAATTCGCATAGATAACTAACCAGGTAAGCAATTTAATGGACAAATAACAAACACGATTGATCATAAATCCTGGGATGACAACAGATGCCAAACTTTGCCAGATTAATGTATCGACAGCTCGAAAAGCAACAGCTCGATATCGTTCCTTACAGTTCAAATAATTTAACTGAAATTGAAACTTTTAAAATGCAAAACTGTTAGACTATTTCACTTTATCTACTGAAAATAGATCCAGAAATAATTTAATCATTTGAAAAGTTATGTGAATAATTCAACCTGATAAGTTTTTCGACTTTTGTCAGCTGTGTCAGAAAAAACATAACCCATTGCAACAACATATGATATTCGTACTGCATTTGTTGACACCCAAGCACGAAATGCTTCACCAACTTCATTTGCATAACCTGAAAATGTTACATGTATTCAAGTACATTATTCGAAATAACTGCAAAATAAGCTGAAAGTATAAATCCATGGAAGTATAAATAAAATCGTCGACCCACTAACTTTTCCGATGTTTTATAAAGAGAATGCGAAATAAAAAAAAAGAAAACATCATATCTTAAAAGTGGATTTTAAACAGTTTAATCTTTGAATAAAACTTATGAAATGAAATCAAAACATAAAAAGTTTAGAGTAAAACAAAAGACAACAAAAAAAAAAAACTGCTATTTCTGGTATCAAACACCACACAAATTGTTCTGTTCATCTATATTATAACCAAGACAACAAAAATATTCTGAAGATATATGGGAATTTGTAAAACTCACCAAGAAATCGTACCGCGGTATCACGGTAAATGTCCATTTCATGCAAATCTTCTCGAGCTTTATCATAAATTGTTAGTTTATTCATAAATGCTATATTACTGGATTAAATCCTGAAATATTTTGAAGATTTCATCCATCATTCATACATGAATGAAATAATAAAAATCGTAAATATCTCCATGCTTTATCTGAATAATAGATTAGAATAATAAATGAGCATAAGATAATGTCAATTATAATTAACTCTGCACATATATTTGAGCAATCCTTCAACAGAAGCAACAATAATTGCTAATAAGATAATTATTTACTAATTATATAATAGATAAGAATGGTAAAGCAGTTTATTCTTTGATATAAGCCTAAAATTTATTAAAGAAAATAAATGACAGATCATGACAATATTATGAATTGCACAGCTAGTTATATCTGATATATGCTTATATGAGGAAATGTTTTTTAATTGATCAAAGAAATTCAAAATTTTTTCACTTTTATTTGTAATTAAGTGGACTTAAGATAATGTTAATTATAACTAACTCTGTACGCATTTTTGAATAACCCTTCAACAAAAGCGACAATTACTAATCAAATAATGACTTCGCAATTATTTGCTCATCAATTACTTATTCATCTACATACTAGTAGTATTGTTTAATACGTTTTATATTCTAATGAATATTCGAACATACGCACCATCAGCCATAATATCTCTGTAAAATTATGAGATTTCACAAAAAAAATCTAATTTAGTAGCTAAAATTTTTTCATCTACCAATAAAGAATAAAATTCCGCATCTTTACCAGTAATTAATAGTATCCCAGACATATCTACACTTATGTATAAAAAAAGAATCAAGAAAAGTTAAACAGATATATGGCAAATTCATGTGATTTATCAAGAATAATCATAATAAATCATTATAAACTATATAATTTCATTTTTTGATTAATCAAACATTGTTATTTCAAAATTCTTGTCATAAATTATTATTAATACAGTACAAATTTTATGGTAAAATATATATATATGGAAGCTAAATTTAGAAAATCTTTTAGCACTGTAAAACTTGAAAATTTGAAAGCAACATCATTCTGTAATTAAAAAAGTGTCGCTAATCATTACAGTTATTTCCAATTAACTATGATAAGTTGAGTGAGAAATTCGTTGTTATAGCTATTTCAGAATAACTATAACTGATAAGTGTTATAAGTTGAGTGAGAGTGAGAGATTATTTTTATCTGATCTTACATCGTGTAATTTTTGAAAGTTAAAAATGAATGATTTGTTGAATTGTATGTGTGTGTTTACAATCTCAAAAATAAGTGGTTAGAAAAATCAATGCTGATCACTGCAATCACTGAAAGACTGAAATCTGCGGACACATATATCACGAAACTCATCAGGTAATAAATTTCCAGAAATTTTGAAGAAAACATATTTAAACTAAACGGAGGAATGCACGCAAAAAATTCATTCGAATCATGAAGAAATCCCAAACATTCACAGATAAGCAAAGAGATTTTAAAAAACTGAGTTTTAGAAATGTTA